CAGCGTATTTCCGTTTTACAGTAACACAAAAAAGAAGAAATGAAGAATATGTTTCCAGAAAGTTTATTTGGTTCTGAAAATAAGCCAAATCGTACGATACTATGAAAATAAATCGTTCTCCGAAAATGTGAAATATTAATTTGTAATAATTATATAGTCATAATAACAAAAGGCAGACAAAACGAAATATTCCAGAATATTTTATTTGCGTTCCATAATACAATTATGTGGTTTTCATTTTATTTAATTTTTGTTGTAAAAATATATGATTTATATCACTTTCTATTATTTTTATTTCACTCTAATTTTCTTTTACTTTTTTACCTTTATTTCATTTTTATTTTAATATATATGTGTGTATATTGTATTTAAATTTAATTTTTAATATTCATTTTATTGTTTTCTTATTATAATATTAAAAACAAATATTTTTCAACCTTTTTTTATTTTATTGTTTGCATGCTAATTTTTTTTATTTTTTATATTCCTTCATTTGACAATTTTATTATCTTTTATTTGGTATAGGCTACTACTTTATAACTTTTTAAAATTAGGAAAAAACAGTTTTTTTCAAATACATCAAAATAATTATACATAAGTGTATTTAAGTTTCAGCGAAACGTTAATTTCAGTTTTTTGTTTTATTTCGTTTTTGTTGCCGCTTTCGAGGCGCCAAAACGTTGTTTTGTGCCAAAAACCTGACAAAAAGTTAAAAGGATTTTGGCATTGTATAGCAATTTTTACGGGCTTTTGTTTAATTTCCTTTTATTGCTGCGCCTTTTATATACGCTTTCTCGCACCCCCGCCCCTCTCTTGCTTGCTTGCCTGCTCTCCTCAACGCCTCCTTCGCTTAATGCCGTGCTGTCAGCAATTAAGTCGATATGCCTGTCATTGCCATTGCTAACATGCGTTATGCTGTCATGCTCTGTTTGTCTGTATTAGTGTATGTGAGTGTGTGTCCGCTTGTTTGCGAGGGTGTGGGAGTTTATGTGTACAAGTATATTGTGGATGTGTAGGTGTGGATGTTAATGTGTTCGGCTGTAGCTTTTATATTTGTGCGCTGCCTTTTATGGCAACACACACACACACACTCACTCAGAGCTATTGGGCGGGACTTCTGCTTTGAAGCGCCTATTCCTGACTTTTGGGAGTTTCGACTCTTGTGCTCCAATAATTCCACCGCCGACCTTATTTCCTGCTCTTTCTCCGTATGCTTTTTTCGTCTAGGCGGTTAATTAGCACTGCGCTGAATTTGTTTATTAATTATGTAATTCATTTTTCTGCGTAATTGTATTGGGATCTGCCCTTGTTGTTTATACTAAAGACACAAGCACAAATGTACATAAGAGCTCTTTAATTGGACCCTAATTAGTAGGCAGCAGTAGGCCACTCGTATGGCGGATATTTGTGTTGGCATCGAGACAAGAAGCGGAAGTATTCAAAGGGAAAGTGCCGTGATTTGAAGAAATTTATGCCAAAATGTGTTACAAAGACACGTGCACGCGAAACCAGCTTCGACAATGGGCTATAGATCTATATATAAAGAGGTCTATTATACGAGCGCCAAGTATACAAAGGAATTTGCTGAAAATACGTTATGATTTATGACACACATGGCCTAAAGGATTGTGAAAAAATGCGAATAACCTGCTTAACAAAATTAATGCAAACTGAAGATAGCAGCAAAGCATTAAATATATTTCATATACACTTCAATATAGGCTTTGTTTAGGAGTTTTCACGCTTCTGAAGGTTTTCACAATTAAATCTCTCAACTAATTATCGATATGCTGATACTGTATCTGATTCGTTACTTTCTAATGGATGAATATTCGTGAGTTCATTTCGGCTACTTCATTTGTACATATTTTTAAATAGACTATTTTATTTGTTAAACTATTTAACATTATTTCTTTCAGGTAACATGTTATAGTACTTAATTGTTTCGCATTCTAAGCCCGTTGACTTTTTGCAGCGGAAATTTTTGACAAATGCATCACTTCCTCGCTGACTCACCTAGTTATTTTCTCGCCAAACTCCAGCTCCACGATGCCGAAGGTAACATAAAATCTGCCGACCAACGGCTTACAGTTGACATCCTTTTGTTGCGGCCAAACAAAGACGGGACTGAAAATCTGAGGCAGCTGACTCAAATTAAATGAAAAAAATAATAAAAGGCAGCTGCACGTCAGCACGCCCCAACAAATATCGATGACACACCAACACACACATACACACATTCAATCGCTCATTCAATCACTCACTCATTGCGTTGGTCGGGCCCGCCCGCACACATGCACACACATTCACAGAAACAAATGTGTTGATAAGATAAGTGAGCAACTCATTAAGCCGCTGTCGCACAGTTGTTTGCATTTTTGCAAAAATATTTATGTATGTATGTAGGTACATGGCTTGTAGGCTGATGGCTTGTGCCGCTGTTCACACCTAAGCCCAACCCGCTGGGCAGTCAAGAGTCTACTACCTGCACAGGTAAGCGAATCGCGTAGTTTCCCACTTGTTCGCAATTCTTGCGAAAAATCATTAATTTTACTTTATTATGCAGCCGACAACGCGATATTACTGTTGCTGTAGTCCTCGTTGTTATCCTTGGCATGGTTTGGTTGCAATTTCCTTTTATTTCATCTCTTTTTTTTTTGTTGATTTATGGCACCATCAAAGTGCAGTTTTGTAGCCCATGTACATATTTTGCAACATGTTTCGTTACCGCCCTGTCCCGCATTTGTAATTTCAACCCCCACCCAGAACCTACCCCTACCTAACCCGCGGCATAACTTTTCCCTGGCACATGATTGCACTGCATTCGTTCCATTTAATATGGTCGCATTTTTTCAGTTCTCTGCCATTTCCACCACCTTTTGACAATGTTATTGTTGCTATTCTACAGCTCTGAAAAATGAACAATACTTGCAGTTATTGCTTAGAAGAGTGTGTGCTGGACTTTGAACCTTCCCCATGTTCATTTTGTTGTTGTGGTTGCTGTTGATGCAATAAACTTTAGCTTGTTCTATTGATAGTAGACCAAAGTTTTTTGTACCATCATATATTTTGCTTGTATTTAAAAATCATATGATTTTTTTATTTGATGTAATGGATATATATTTCAACCCCGAAATGGGACAAACATTTTGATAGTTAAAGTGCATTTGTGACTAACTATGGCAGCTATACTTAAGAATCGAACCCTAACACTGTTTCGGGGGCAACATATAAAACAGTGAAACCACGTTGAACAAAAAAGGGCTAGCAGTTAAACCTTATTAACGAAAAAGTACTATTCAGATACTATTTATAGAGTCACTGACTCACACTTATTGCTCGTGAAATAGTACACTTCCCAACGAAATCTAATCGTTTAGAAAGCATTTTTGTTATCACCTTAAGTGCCAATTAGCTCGGTGTGGTGTACGAGTAGACAAAGCCTTCTAGTTGGAAATCGAGATTTTTTGGAAAGAAAAAAAATAATTGTAAATGTACATATACTAAAAATTGGTGTTGAATATTGAAAAATTGTTTTCGCCTAAAGTTCCAAATATACATATGTATATCATATTTTTATTAATACACGAGTATGTTTATAGTACAAATTAATTCTATAAGATTGCTTGTTTTTTAGGATGTGATTCACTTTTAGTGTTCATATTTAGTAAAGATTATGAATTTGAGCATTAATACTATAAGTTTGAATAATATATATGTATAGTATATATACTACTTTGTTTTCATTTAATAATATAATGAGTATTATAAGTATACAAATATAATTAGGAATGAAAGGGAGAGAAACTTGATTGCTGTTCTGTATATTTTTTGAAAGAAGTTTAATCCAAACTTTAAAGTTAAGGACACACTCTTAATGTCTACGTTCTCATGCCATTTCTGACACTTCCGCTTAAGCAATTAGCCGTGCTTGATGTGATCAGCAGACTTATGCAAGGATTGCTGCCTTTGACCAATTCCACTTTAGTTGCGACAACTTGCGAGACTGCGATTTGATTTCTCCGCTGCATCTCTCACCTCTGCCTGAACCTCTGCCTGAACACCTTTTAGCAACGCTTTCTTTGTCTTTTGTCTGAACACCTTGACCCGTCCGTCTGCTGTTTGTTGTGCCTTTTGCCCACTCTTTGCTATGTAATAAGAACAAGGATAGCAAATTGCCGCTGCAATTTGTCACATTTCGCACTTGACTGTCTGTTCAACTGTCACCGAGAATCCGGCGCTCGTTTCCAGTCCCATTCAGGAACTTGAAACTTTGCCATATTAAAATTGTTTGGCGCTGACATTTCAGTGATTTTCAAGACAAAGGAATCTTGAATTACCGCACCTGAGATGCGCCGTCAAGGTGTGCTGCAAGCAGACATTTAAAAATTAAATTCCACAACAGCACAAGTTGACTGCTTTAAAATATTCTATCAGGCATGTACCGTATTCAAAACTTATACCTAAATGAGCGTGCACAACTTTTTGACACTTATATTGTATGTAAGCCTAATTACAGAGTTGGATTAAAACGATTTGAATTTGAAGCACAGCTCACTAGCATTAAAGCAAATAGGAGACACCTATAAACGTAAGTATGTATGTAGGCCACTAGCAACTAGCATTGAAACAAATTACATAATAATTAAGCTTGAATGAATATTTGAGAACATTAAAGTATTTTTGTTGAACTATCAACCTATCTGATCGGTAGCTATTGGCTGAAAATATGAGTGCAGACTACAGATGTACAGCATATTAAAGCACACAAGTGGGAAGAAGTTTTCACTTTTTTACGATTTCCCAATTATTGGTTATACATATTTTATGCTATGTTTCACAATTCCAGTTGCCACTTACTGAGGAGGTTCGGCTGATAACGAAATAGAGTGCCTCGAAACTCCCTTCGAAATAATGCTTAGTGTCAAGCTGCTCTTCATTTTCAGTCACATTCTATATTTCTACAGCACATCACATTACTCCTCAGCTAGGCGGCAGTTTCAAAATTTTGTGTCATTTCGTAGTATTATAGTATTTTTATTGTTATTGAAAACGCTCGCCCACTAAAATGCAAGCCGCGGACATTATAATAGACACACTTCTCTCCTTCAACCGACCGGTGCACGAACAGGAACTCATCTGCGAGGTGGCCCGTCGTGGTGGGCTCAAGTACGAGGATATGTTCAAATCGGCCACCTCCCTGCGAGAGGGATTCCATGAGCTGTGCAACTTTGGGTATTTGCAGGAGACGGATCCGGGCTGGTATACCATTAGGCCGCTGGACATGAAGAGCCAGCCGTTGCGGGTGAAGAAATCGGAATTCGACTACAGGCGTATGTGTGAGGCCTATCTGAAGGGCAGTGCCTGCAATCCCCAGGTGGGAATTACGAGCCTAGTGGCTAAAGGACCTAATAACTTGACTTCCAATCAATTTTACGAATGGCACCCTGAAACCCCCTTTTTGGGCTCTTCGCTGACCAACAACCACGTCTCATCAACTTCACCACGGACCATTATACGTAAACACATAAAGTCCAACAAAACAGTAGCCAGAAGAAATGCTTCCACAGCTGTCCGTCTCATCAAGTACAACAAGACGAAACGAATAGCATACCAACCACAGCCACTAGCCGGGACAAGACGCCCATATAAGCCGAGAACCAAGACCAGCAGCAAAATAGCAATACGCCAGCTGCGTGGCAACATTAAGGCTCCGACACAATTGCGCCGAGGAAAACGCATACCACAAAGCGTCGGGTCTATCGAAAAGATACTTCCTCAGCGTCAACAACGCCGCAAAGCCAAACTGAACAAGAAGCAAAACGGCACCGATAACTAATTATTACATCTCAACCGACCACCCAAGGACTCCGCCCGTCCACACACTCCAAGGGAAATCCTTGTCTATGTGAAAGCGAAAGCAGCTCATATACAAATATTCACAAAGAACTAATACCTCCTTCAGACGAAACTGGTCAAGCATTTGCCTGACTCTAGTTTCCTTTGCTGCTTCCTGGATTTGTTTGCGCGAGGAAAATTTATTGCCTAGGCGTCCTCCGTGTGTGCTCCTCAGACGTTTTTCATGCAGAAATTATGTCTGGCCCCACCACACTCCACACTCAGACGTTTTTCCTGTGCTAAGGTAAGGGAAGGATGCAAAAGCAAGAATAATTACTGGAACTAACAGTCTGAATATATTCTGCTTGAAGATACGAAATAAGAATCAACAGAAATTACTTTCCGAGTTAAAAGCCATTAATTAAAAGGTCCCCTAAAGTAAGAGAAGGACGCCAAAGGTAGTGTAGTTTTCAAATTATCAATCAGATTTCCGATTGAGGATTTTAGGAACCTGCTTTTCAAATATGTATTTATTGATCGAATCTATGGATAATAATGATAACAATATTTAACCATTTCCCACTTTTTATTTTCACAACTAGTAAAAAAAAAAAGTCAATTGCAAGATCAGTTATAAGAAGATAAATATTGATATATCTAGGACGGATTTATAAAAAGTTTTTTAGAGAGAAGTTATTCCAGGCACCATCAGATCCAAATGCTCTTCCTGTTAAGGTGAGAGCAGGATTCCAGTGAATGAATAGTCCAGTTGAATCAATAGTCAAAATATTCTTTCCTAGGGTTTAAGAGCTCTCTCGAGAATTTACACAATCAACATGAAATTAAATTTGTATCTAAATTAGAATATTTGAGTAAGAAAACGAAAACTAACAGTCAGACTCTCTTCTAATTTCAGAGCTATCTTTACTAAAATTTCAAGTAATAAGATCGTTGATAAGTGATACAAAACACATTAAAACATTAATCAATTAAAGCATGAAGAAAACCACTAATAAATTGTGTTGCCGCAATTTGTTTAAAGGATTAAGATAAGGAAAATGATAATTCCACGAAATAGGTGTCCCCAAGACAGATTTATGAGACGTTTTCATAAAGACACCGATTTATGAGTTTTTGGAGACTGTATGTTGATTATAGAGCATATTGCCACAGATAATGTCAATTTATTTTAAGCAAAGAAATACATGTTTATGAACTTATTACAAGTAATTATATATCGGAATTGACTGCATTTGGTTAATTAATATTTATAGTACTATAGAACAAATTCCTAAGCAGATTACTCAAATATTGCTAGAAAATAATAATTGATTTTATTATTATTTGGAATTAAATTAAAATCCTCTTTTATAGTTACAAATCATTTCAATATTTTTATTGCAACTTATCAGGCACATTGTTGTTTCCAAATACGATCTATTTAAGTGGAAACGAAATACTCAAATTCACCTAAATTCCAACAATTAGTAGGTATTTCGGCTTTTAACGTTTTGCAGAGAAACAAGTGTCCCGAAAATTTGTTCGAGTTCGTTCGAGTTCTAAAAAATTAAACACACAATGAAAACTAACACAAATCAGTTTCGGCAAATCTGATCGAAATTGAAGTTCCTAAGAACTATGATTCAAAGTAATTTCACTATTTGGTTAGCATTGCAAACGCAATTTGATTCGATTCTGTAGATTTGCAACTTTTGTGATTGTTGGGATTCCCCTAAAAACTTACCTTTTGTGCCTTGCAAGTCACATTGATGGACTGCACATCATGCGCCTGGTGGCGCTGCTCTCCAATACACTGTCCACAGGCGGGTATCTTGCAGTTGAGACAATACTGTGAGAGTGTCTCTTCGTGTTCCCCACAGACGGATTCCCGCTGCTGGGCCGCTCCACGGGGCTTGACCAGCGTGTGCTTGGCGAGCGGTCCACGTGCCGGGTGGCACAACTCGCGACAGGCATCGCAATAGCGAATCTCGCACTGCTCGCATATGAGGGACGCCACCTTGGGATCTGTTTCGCACATCTGGCAGCGGAGCGCCTCCCGAGCGCAGAAGCGATCTACAATGGCCTCCATGGCGCGATAGGTGGGCAAGTTGCGGACGCCACCATCATCGAAGAAGACGAGCTTGCGGCAGAGCGGACAGGTGAGGCAGTAGGCGGCACCTGGTGGGGCCACCACGGCGCCCTGCAACAGTCCCTGCAGCCCCTGGGCTGTGCCCGCATAAGAGACCGGACGCGATGTGTTGGAGCAGCAAACAACGCCGGAATCGGCCTCACTAAAGATGCTCACCTTGTCCGACTGATCCTGATCGGAGGTGACGCTCTCGCTGCCCGTAGCCGAGCTCGCTGTGCTGGCCGCCGAACTATGCGACGAGTGGCGCGTGCCCGGACCATTGGCTGTGGGCACCACACTGGGTGCGGCTGTGGCGGCCGCAGCGGCGGCAGCAGCAGAGCTATTGCTGGCAGCATGGATGCCATTGTGGGCGGCCGGATTGTTGGGACCACCAGCAGCTGAGCCGCCCACGGCGGCCAATGCCATGCCCTGGGTGTAGGGTGTTTGTATGTCCAAAGCGCAGCCCAGGCAGAGGGCATGGAAACAGGGGAGTAGCACAGGATTCGCATAAAGCTGCTTGCAGGTGGGGCAGCGCAGTTCGTCCTCCATTTTATTTATAACTGTTATTTCCTGGCCTCAAATTTGTGAATTGATTTTTGTTTTAGTTTGTTTTCTCTTCTTTTGTCAATTTAAATTGTGGCCTCGCATTTTGCCGCTTTCACAGACACAGACACAGGCACGCACACAAACACATGCAAAAACTCACAATTTTTCTCTGCGTTTAATAACAATATTTTTAAATATTTTATATCTGGCAACCACAAATTTGTTTGCTTTGGCAATTTTTTCACAATTTCTGTGCAATTTTTTTATAATTTAATTTTTCTCTTTGATTGCGATTTGAGAAAATACTTGCGGCTTGCCGATTGCAATTTTCAATTTATTTGCTATGCACACAACTAATTGGTTTCTAATCAAAAGCAAACGGTAAAGTATTTCCGCACATACGCACACACACGCACGCATTCAGTAAATTACGTATGTATGTATGTTGTTGGTGTTGTTTTATTCTTTTCACAGAATTTCTATGCAGTCAGCGGCTTTTGCTTGCTTGTCTACTGCTTTTTAATCAAACACTTTGGCGATTTGTAAGCCAATTAATTAAGTTCAATGTATGTATTTATTTGCACACTTTTACGTTTCGTTATCAAATTCTTTCTTGCAAGTTTCGCATTTAAAACAACGGTAAACTGACAATACAATCGCGAACAGTTCGTTTTTACGCTTGACACCATCCGCTTCACACGTCCGATTCCGCCAAACTCCGTTTTAGACTGTTCCACAAATGCTTATACTACAAATGTTTGGCAACAATGCGCGCACATCGAACCGTTTTGCAGCATGTTCGAGCCGCTTGGTACTTGAGGAAGATCGATCATGTTGCATGTGGTTCGTTTGCGTTGAGTTCATACAACTTGTTGACAACGGAACAGCAGCATGTTGCTACGACCAAAAATGTATCTAACAAAAATGTATATAAACAAAAGGGAATCATGATAACGACTCGTGAACAGTGTTGTCAAGTCAGCTTTTTTACATCCAATCTGGATTTTTTTATTAGTTAACTCCGTAATTTAGCCCGCTTTTAATTGAAAAGAAGTTTATTTTAATAATAGTTTGCTTTGTATTTCTTACTGCATCGGGAGACTTTAGCATCTCTTTAATGCATGGTTGTTCATTTTAATCTATTTTTGAAAACAATTTGCTTAAATCGTTCATGATCGAGAATCGTAAAATCTAAAGTTTCATCAAATAAGTCTTGTTTTTACAAGCAAAAAGTCATATGTAAAACCACTTTGATGAAATAACTTTGAAATCTCTCTGATTATCGCTAAAGCGCCTTGCAATCATCACTATAGGCCATAAATAAATGGTAATACATACCTTTCTAACAAATGAAAGCAATCAAATTTGTCCAACATGAATAAACATAAACAGCCTTTTAAGCTATTATTAAAGTTTTGTAAAAGATATTTTCATCTTGCTAAAAAAATAAACGGTTGAAAGCTGGCAACACTGTAAACGTGTTGCTGTGCTGTGATATTTGTAAGCCTTTTTGTTTTTGAAGTGGCAACAGTTGTTGGTGGTGTGAAAAGAAAGCAGCAGCTAAAATATAGCTACATGCATGTTACGCTGCTTATCACAAGCCCTATGGCAACAAAATAAAATAAAAGCAACAACCAATAGTTATTGCTGATAAGAAAGAGTGCCAACTCGCCAGCAACCTGAGCTCGTCAATCAGTCGACTTTCGCCCAACGCCTGCCTCTGCGCACTTGCACAATTGCCACCGCCAGGAAAATCGAGGCCGCGAGAGCTGTATGAGAAGAGCTTGTAAATTGTATAGGAAATGCGTTCATTACGCTACATGATTCTAGGGCTAAGAGGTACATTGTTGTTATGCAAATACGGGACTTAAAAGGGGGGAAAAAGCAAACCAGAATTGAGATACATATTATTTTATAATTAATATAATTTCATCTTAATATTAATAATGACCTAATAATAATAAGCTATTTAAATTAAATTATATTTTAAGTATAGTACATTATTGTTGTGCAAGTACGGCCCTTAAAAGGGGAGAGAAAGGAAGACAGAATGAAGACATGATTTATGTTGTTATTAATATAAACTTGATCTTAATACTAATAATCATCATCATATAATTATTTAAATGCCAACTTAATATTATTGAAATTAAACTATATTTTAATTATAATATCACCTTGCTTAGAAAGACAAATAAAAATATTAGTAATGCGCTGAAAAGCTTAATCTATTTTTGATCAACATTTTCCCAACTAATATATTCTTTATATAAATATTGCAGATCGGATCAGTTACTAAACTACTTAAAAACCGATATCTGTTGTGCGTGTACTTCTTGAACAGACCACTAGAATGCCACAGGTAGAAGGAAGGGTAAGCCGCACAGGTACTAGGAATGGGAATGGGAATGGGTGGCGATAAGAGCCGCATATGGCACGCATTCCACGCAGCCCATAAACTGCAGAACCGCTTGAAGGTGTCACAGAACCCGACAAAAACAAATATTGAACACGCCGCTTGTTTGCCCCGCGACCAACACACACACATCCAAGTATAGTATATACACAGCCATATACATATAGTGTTAGTTTATTTAGACATCAGAAATCAGGCAATGGCCGTCCGCTGGGTTGGCATTCGATATCGGACACCAATGACCACAGCAGATACTATACACAAACAAACAACCAGCAACCAAGAACCGAACCAACAAAGAAACGACCTGCTCTAAATGTTTATCAAAATAAGTAGTTGAGGCGTGCAGAGAGTACGGACGGCTCTGAGGCATGAGTAATCCGTTTGACTTAATAAGCCACGTTCTGCCTCTGCTGCTTCTTGTTCCTCTAACATTATTTTATGCGAGTTTTGGGTGAGAGGGGCAGGGTAGGTTTGAGCCCCAAATGTCAATTGCTCTTTGGGCCCCGATTCCCATATATTCTATAGTGTGTATGTAGGCTGTTAGGTGTTTGTGGATATATCTTTAACAACTTTTGGACTGCAGTTCGTGTCGTGTCTGGCCTATGCAAATATTTACATTCAACATTTATCGCCCGGATATGTAATTTGCCTCACTTTATTAGAGAACGAAATGTTTGTTTGTTTTCCTTACACTTTTGCTCACTTATTCTTCGTAATAAATCACAACAGACATGGGCGCCTAATTGGTTGTTTCTATGTTTGTTGGCATAATATACTTGTAGATATTGATTTTCAGGCATTTTTTGGTCTTTTTGTTTGTGCGCCTAAAGTGAAGTGAACTGAAGGATTTGGCGCCAGAAAAACTATGGATGGGAAATTATTTAACAAAGGGTATTTACTCGAATACATTAAAGGCTCTTGCAGCCCAAGCATTGTCTCTAAGTCGCATAAGAGTATAGATTTTAAATTCCGCAAAATAAGGATATTGTAAAATTCGTTTTTTTATAATAATTTCAACTGAATTTTTAAGGCTTTTAAATAAATTTAGGCAACAACTTTTTTGCCATCCCTCCCTAGAGTCTAAGTTAAAATGCGCTTTAACATTTCTGCACAATTTTTTCCAGTTATTTACACATACGCAAGTATAACATATGTGTATGAACTAAAAATATTTTACATAAGCTCATAAAAAAGTTCGGCTCCCTCCCGGAAAAAGTTTTTGCAGATTTTCGCGGCTGCCTGCCTGCCTGCCATCTGGTTGCGGCTCCCAAACTCTTAGCGGCTTTAAGTCCATATATCATTTCGCGTAACCATGGCCAAGGACATTCACAATATGCGCGCATGCATAAAACACAATAATAACAGCGAACGCACACACACACACATACGTACATATATATCTCTTCTGTCACAATCGAAAATAGCAGGAATACTTTGGTCACCGCGGGTGCGAAACATTTTTTGCTTTCGCCTTCAAAACGATAACAAAAACAAAAAAAAACATTGGAATAAAGAGAATGTCGAGCACATTTGCACTAGCGATGGCTTTGTGTGTGTGTGACTGAGTCTGTGTTATTGAATAGATTATATATTCGCTGAAAAGGGAAGGGCTCAGTAGGAGTAAAGTAAAAGACAATAGTCGCGGACCGCCGTGCGTCTGTTCGCTTTAGAGTTTTATTGGAGACTGACACTTTTGCTATACATATTCTTTATGCTTACATTCGTATGCAACAGTGACAGATAACTTGTAGATAACATAAGATTATTATCTGCTTATATTAACATGCGTGCATTGGTACTTATGTTTGTATTGATTTTCAACACCCTTCCTCAATGCAAACATGTTTTACAAAAATTTTCAAATCAAATTTAACAGCTTTGTAAAATGAACATGCTTCGCTTTAGGGAGATTTTTCGTTAAAATATCAGCTATCATTTCATTGGTTGATGTATACTGTAAAACAATTTGTTCTTCGTTTACAACCTGTCTTGCAAAATGATATCTAATATCAATATGCTTTGTTCTTTCATGGTGTACAGGATTCTTAGCTAATTGTTGAGCACTTAAATTATCGCCATGAAGAATAGTTGGAGTACTCGAGTCACCGCAGCCAATCTCCACTATAAGACGCCGTAGGTATATGGCCTCCTTACACGCAGTTGAAAGAGCCATATACTCCGCCTCCGTGCTGCTAAGTGCCACGCTGCGTTGCTTTTCAGATCGCCAGGATATGGGTCCTCCAGCCAAGTAGTATACATAGCCAGTATACGACTTGCGATCGATGCGGTCGCCACCCCAGTCTGCATCCACATAGCCGGTAAGGGGTTGTCCACACTCTTTGTAGTGCAACTTCAGGTCCACAGTTGACGCCAGGTATCGAAGCACATGTTTTACACCCACTAGGTGCTCTGCATGCGGATCTTGATTCCGTTGAGCTAACTTGGCAACGGAATGCAATATGTCTGGCCTTGTTGTAAGCGCCAGCCACATTAACTCGCCAATTGAAGACTGGTAGGATGCAATGTCAACCTTTTGACAATGCTCGCTGGTACATATCACTTGGAAACCAGCATCCAGTGGGGTCGCTGTAGGTCTACAGGTCTCGCATCCATGTTCACGCAATATGTCTTTGATGTATTGCGAATTGCTTAGCGAAATTTCGCCAAGCTCACCGTCGCGCTGCACTTCCATGCCAAGGAACAAATGCAGCTCTCCCTTGTCAACACATTCAAACGATGTTGTAATGGC